TCCATACGTGCAACAAAAATATCTCGCGCCGGCGAAATGCCACGTATTCACAATTTATATTTTGCAAATAATATTCAGATGATATTTCGCACGTTATACCTTGTCGGTGACTTTCGGCCCATTGCTCGCGCAAGAGACAACGGCTATTAAGCCTATGAGCAGCAGCAGCCTCATGATGCTATGGACGATGAAAGTACCACACTGTCTGATCCTGCAGTGGTCTGTCAGAGTGGACCACTACCGGATGCGATGGTGCTTCGAGTACGCGTGTGCACGCTTAGAAATGTGGGAGCGTCCAATTGGCCCGTTTCCCCGGCGGTAACGTAACGAGCGAGTCACCACGAGGGCCCGCGAATGTGAGAATAAATGAATAAAATGTATTTAGTTAGCTCAATTTGGTTTTTGATAGTCGAATATAACTGCAAATCGAAACTGATACGAGCTTTAGGGCATGAATTTGAACGATAAATTGACAATTTTCACGTTTAATAGTCCCTCTTGATTTGATATATTGAATTGAACTGAATCGAACAGTTCATTCAGGGTCATTGACTGTTGCCCGTTTTCCACGTGTAGATTAATTTCGTATGGTAATGGAAGTTAATTTATTCTTTATTTTTTCTAATTTTTAAAGTTAAAGAACAAAAGAAAAAATAAATTAAAATTAATCTGCATTGATAGAAATATATGTATATTAATAAGATAATATCTCAAGAAGATATAATATGTATGTATACAATAATTGTTTATAGAGTTTTAATTATTGTTGTTAAATTAATTTAAGACGATCTTAAGTACAAAATTATGATAAATCACCTTTAATACAATAATTGCTTCATAGTGTTTTTGCTATTAAAATTAAATTAATATATCCATTTCTTCTAATGTGTAGATTAACTTTATTCTCGGTTCAACTTGCTCGATCTTTATCTTGTTTAAATTTTTAGGATTAGAAAAAGGTGTAGAGTTAGTTCAATTAAGGTTCTCTAACAGCACAAAACAATTGCAACATTATTGTTGCAATATTGTATGTACAATTATATATATATAATTGTATAATATACAATTATACGAGCTCATATCGAAAAAAATTATTTGAAAAAATCTATCGTACTTGAGTCCATATTGATTTCGAAGTACATTTTTTATTTTTGCATTTCGATTTTTCGCCTTTCTGCTCGAAGAATAGAATTTGCTTTTCTTGTATGTATTGATTTCTATCCTTCGAATAATCGTCGATTTTTGATTACGCAGCATCTAGAATTTCGATAATTTTACAAACTCAGCAAAAAAAGCAGCACTGCAGTTGTAAAATTATTCTTTAACATGTTAATTGATCCTGCTTTTAGTTCTTCACTGGATAATGTGCAAACCAACAATCGTAAATAATTTTACAACGCAATTTTGCAAAGCTCTACTGAACGCAGCAATAATTGTCTATAATTTGTCTATAATTTGATGATGCGTTTAGAACTGGAGAACCAACAAATAACGATCGGTAATGCGTTTATTTTTCCCAATTCTTAATTCAATTACTGAAAAAGATATATTCCCTTTTTTTTATATAAAAATCAGAAATTATGCATGTCATTAAGCGTTTCTTTAAAATGTTGTCAAATTTTACTTTTACTCAGAGTACTTGAACAGATTAAATTTTGGCAACAGAAAAAAAATCATAAATTTTAGAGTTCTTTTAATTCAGACACAAAAGACATGGCCTTTGATAGATTGTATTACATCCCTGGCAAATGCGAAGCAACATGAAATATTGCGAGATCTAACTCGCGCGAAAGTTCACAGGTGTCACGAAGTACATTTACTCGTAAATAGATTACGTACGATATAATTAAAATATGATATATTTAAATATTAACTTATCGAGTAGAGATTTTTTCATCTTTATCAGATGGATCTTTCAGCCTGCATTTCTCAGATTGATCGACATTGAATATTAAATTATGTAATTTATAACACCACGTTTTTTTTTCAAATATTTATAATCTCGATTGATAAAAATAATCAGTGTCTGTTATTCAAGTTCACGTCGAAAGCAATAAACGAACATTATAATTACTTTTATCAATTGAGATTAAAATATCAATCATGCGTCAATCATGCTTTTGCAAATTCTAACAGATTCGAGCATTTCTTTCGTATACAAATTATCTCGATCTTTGATCTCAATTTGATTGTCATTATATAATATCCAATTAATGAAATTTTTGTTTCTTGTGCCGTTTTACAATGCACGTTCGAGAGCCATCGCATCATTTTATCCTGGTTTTATACTAATAAACAATAAGTAAGACAAAAATAAAATGATACAATAACGCTGATAGCACACTTTCCAAACGTAACCGATATTTCATTGGCTGAATTCAGCAAAAAAAGCAGTTTTGAAACTGTCATAAGATCCTTAATATAACTGATTTTTACTTTTAATTTCTCTTAATTTCTCTGGATCTAATAAATGTAAACCAATTGTATTAAAAAATCGTATACATTTATTTATAAAGCTGTTTTTTTCTGCTGAACCCCAGTCAAGCCTGGGTATCTATCATGAAACTTTATTCCTAGGATGGAAAGTGAAAAATGAAAATTTTAACCATTGAAGTTGATGGAAAAATTTTTCACTTTTCACTCTAGGAAAAAAGTTTCACGATTGATACCCTGATCAAGTCATTGAATGACTTATTGAACTGCGTTCAGAAACTTCACCTGGATGCTCCCAAATATTATTATTTAAATATCTCTCTAGTAATAGTAAATACAATCTTATTGTTGTTAGTATTTCTTCTGCGTTTATCAAACACATATTTCATTAAACATCGGTTTAGAAAAATGTATGTTATGCATGATACGTATTTTCGACATTTTCGTATAATTCCATATTACTACAATTTTTTAATTATGCTTCTACACTATATCATTTTTGTTATATTTTGAACAGCATTTATAATTGTATATTGTTTTGTAAATAATTATTATAATTGTAATATCGAATTGTATAAAGGATTACAATACAGAATAATATTAAAAAAGTTTGGAATTTCATTAACGAAATACAATAAAATAATTGGGCATAAAAATAAAAAATAAATTAAAAACAACACTTACCTGCAAAAACGGGCTAGTAAATTTAATATAGTAGCTCGTTTTTTTTTATGGATAAGTATGTGTGAAGAAAAGAGGATCGCCGATGAAATTGGCGGGGGTGGTGGAAGGCCTCAATAACTCGCTTCTGCTAAATTATATCTTAAATTGATAATATATGTTTAGAAAAATTTGAATTTATTAAAAGTTTCTATAATTGTTAATAATTATAGAGACAAAATTCACTAAATTATTTAAATTTTCAATTTCGTTTATTAAAATTCAATAACTTTTATTTACATATGTAGGAGATGCGAAATAAAAATTTTTTTATTCAAGAATTTATTATACTATGAATAGTCGGCACGCTTCTACGCTGAGGATTTAGTACAGAAACGAACCATATCTACTTTTGACGATACGATTTTATCGATAGTGTCAGAAAATATATATAGTCACGTAGTTCCCTAACCTGAAAATGAACTGGCGGTAGTATACAGGCGATTTCGATGGTAATAGGAAAAAGCAGGAAAAAGGCTGACACATGACCTCTGCGAACTTTCCATTATCCACATGTGTATTCGTATAGTATGCGTATGTATGCGCGTAGAAATTGTGAGCTAATTAAAAAAATCACACTTTCACCCATTCATATTTTCACCCACTTCGGATATATCTACTTCAATTAGAATAACGCTATAATTTTCCGTAAACAAATTCTCGATCCCTCGCACAAATAAAGTTTTTGGTCCGATTGCATTAAGGTTATTTCCACTTTAAGCGAAGCTTAAGACTATCTATCCTACTCTCTCGGCTTTAAAGAGAGAAAGTGAGTTTTAAGTCGCTTAAAGTTAAAGGGTACTTTCCATTTGATGATACAAGTCGTCACAAGCGTTTTTTTTCTTGGCATTCACAGAGTGACAAAGATAGAACGGCACTGTGTCGACTGTGTCATTAAATGGAAAGCAAAATAATGTGAAATCGGGCCTTTTAGAAATATTTACATCGTCACATAACATTATGTTTATAACAATATATTTATAACGTTTACATCTATATTCTTAATGATGTAATAAATCGTAATTACACAAAACATGTAATTTATATTTTTATCTTTCGGAGACCTTACTGGCTGATTACTGATTTGTTACGTGTACATTTTAATAAGTTTTTTGTGAGTCTGAATAGGACTTTACGTAACGATTTTTTTTTACGTATCTTCGAGAATCTTCAAGTTTTGTAACGATTCGACTATCGACTCAGTAATTAGTTTCCTGTAGTTTACTTTCGATACATGTCGCACGTGTGAATCTTATCGCATTGTCCGATTGTCGTGGCATCTTCCAACAGACCACAACAGTGAGCAGAATTTATACGAGTTGTTTGTTCCCTAGTCTGTTTTTTTTGAAAATGACCATCACGCTTTACACTACTGAGGTAAAATAAAGAGAACGGAAGAATGCAGTAAAATTTTTATTTTGTTGTTTATTTGACGCTTGTTAAATTTGTGATCAAGCCAGTTTTATTGCAAATCAAACAAGAATTTTTCGTCATTTTGCTTAATCATTCTCATTATTACAGCGCTCAGCAGCGCTCAATGAGATTCTAGGAACAAAATTCTTTATACAGAAATTTATTTTTAGTTTAAAGCAAATCAGAAAAACAATATTCTGCGTTTAAGATTTTAAGAAAGCTTCGTGAAAAGTTACGCGAAATTTTCATGGTTAAACATTCCAATATATTACATATTCGATGTCGTGTAACTTTATATTATACGATTATAGAATAACTGTGTTATGTAAATATAACTTCATTTCTGCGAAAAAATCGAGAAAATCCATTATATTTATATTATAGAAATATAATTTATAGGGTTATTTTATTGAAGTAATTTTTATTTGCCTAAGATGAATGAAAATATGTCGTCAAAGGAAGAGGTGCTGACTGATGTTTCTTGCGAGATATCTAATAACGATAACAATGGTGAGGTATTACCCCTTAAACCCTCTTCTTTAGAGGATCAATCTAAGGGAGATCAACCTAAGCAGGATCAACCTAAGGAGGATCAATTTAACAAGGATCAACCTAAGGTGAATCCACTTATGGAAGATCAACCTAAGGTGGATCGACCTAAGGAAGATCAATCTAAGATTGATCAGTCTAAGGTGAATCAACCTAGGGAAGATCAATCTAAGGATCAATCGAAGGATGATCAACCAAAGGAGGATCAGCTGAAGGAGGATCAGCTGAAGGAGGATCAATCTAAGGAGGAGTGGTTAGATATAATTGGAAATGGTCAGCTGATGAAGAAAGTTATAAAGAAAGGCACACAAGATGTAAAGCCAATACAAAAAGATATATGTACATTAAAGTTTACTGGTGTGCTTGATGATGGCACAGTAGTGGAAGATCAAGATAATGTTTCGATACAATTAGGAGATTTTGAAGTAGTACAGGTATTATAACTATTATTATAACATTATTATTTGTATTATAACTGTCAGTATCTTATTTACAATATATCAAACTGCAGGGATTAGACCTAACGATTGTATTGATGGAATTGGGTGAAATTGCTGAAATAAAAATCGATCCTAGATTTGCTTATGGCACACGTGGAGAAGAATCTATACCACCTAATGCTACTATTACATACATAGTTGAATTGAAAGCAATAGAGGATAGTCCTGATATAGAAAGTCTAAGCGTCAAGGAAAGGAGAGAACTAGGGTAATCAGTTTATTTATGATATACGCGCATGCACACACACACACACACATACACATAAATAATTGAAGGTTAAGACTATGTTATTTGTATCTTTAATTTCTTTTTATCACATACATGTTGTACATTATTTCTTTGTAGTAACAAGAAACGCCAACGTGGAAATTGGTGGTTTGTTCGCAAGGAGCTTAATTTTGCAATACAGTGTTATCGGAGAGCGTCAGAGTATCTACAAATAGATGGTATGAATTGGAATGAAGAAAATGAAGAATCAGGGCCGATTACCGATAGCCAACTGCAGGGACTATTGGATGATTGCATAAAAGTATATAACAATTTAGCGGCTGCATTAATTGAGATAGGATCTTACAACACAGCTTTAGAAAATGTAGAGAGAGTTCTGAAGTATCAACCAAAAAATTCAAAAGCTCTATTTAGAAAAGGTAATAAAAAATCTCGTCTAAAGTTCTTATTGTTATTTTGTCTTTTTTTAATATGTTAGCTTTTTCGTATTCTTGAATTATATTTTATCCAATTCTATATATATATTTTTACATATATCTATATTGTTTACAGGAAGGATATTAAAAGCCAAAGGGAATTATGGAAAGGCTTATATGGCTTTCCTTGAAGTGCAAAAGATAGATCCAGATATAAAATCGTTACAAACAGAATTAATAACTTTAAAAGAAATAATTTTAAAACAGACTGAGAAAGAAAAGCATCTGTATGCTAAAATGTTGGGTATAAATAAAGAGACTGATAAGTCGTCAAAGAATATAAAAGTAGAAGAAAAAAGTAAACTCGCTAAAGGAATTCTATGGACTGCGATTGGAGCATCTGCTGCTGTCATCGGTATACTTGTACATAGATTTGTTTCATGAAGAAAAAAGAAAATGGATAAAGACAAACCAGAGTTAATGAGGTACAAGACAAGTTGTATTCTTTGTTTTTAATTAACAGAAATATATAATTAAATATATTAAGTTTTTTAATTACATATCAAGTTATATATTTCTAACGATACAAGTACGTTTGATGAATAAATGGTAAATATAAATACATGAAATATGGTTTTCTTCTAATTATGTTTATATATATGTGTGTGTGTGTGTGTGTGTGTGTGTGTGTGTGTGTGTGTGTGTGTGTGTGTGTGTGTGTGTTATATGCATATGTTTATACACATACAAATTGATACAATACACAGAATTTATAAAAGAATTACTGATTTATTACGTCGCCAATAATTCGTATAAGATGTTTATCATAGTTCATATTTATTACTGGTTTATATTTATATTACAAAAAATAATTATGACTTTATGATAGTTGAAACATATATACGTGTTATAATTTAATGATAGATTATTAAAAATTATGAAAGTTTTCTTTATATTTTAACATGCTCTATTAAAGATACACATTTAATTGTTGAATCCTTTAATCTTACACAAATAGAGATCGAATAAGTTCTCGATTTCTCCTAGTCTTTGCACGTATTTTAAATGATACATGTGCAAGAGGAAAATATTTGTATGTTAATAAGTTTCACTAATTTCCATCTTACATATGCATTATAGAAAATGTAAAATAGTGGAGAGGAATAAGGTAAAAAGAAAAGTATTCATTTTTTAACTAGTTTAACTGATTAGGATTTTGATTCAGCTATGCGTAAAATTTAGATCTGTATAAAAAAAACTTCAAAATTTAATTTCGGATTAATATTATACATATATATTTTCAATTAATTTCAAATGTTTAATATTATTAGTCATGTTTTAAAGTTGAACTAAATACATCTAGATTAATACATTATTATGTAGCTTTTGTCATTTTTTATGTCAAATTATACATATTTAATACACATATTAACTTAGTGTACATTTTAACAAGTCAATAAAATTTTACGTTTATACATCTTAATAAAATAATATCTTATATAATGTATAATACAGCTCTGTGTGAAAATATTTGTTAAAATATTTGCTATTATATGAGGTAATAAAATTTTTGTACTTTGAAAGAATATGTATTTATTTATTTTAAAAAATTAAAATATTAAATTACATCTTGTAGTATAAAAAAATAAATTTTATAAAATTTAATAACATAGTCTTCGTTGTTAACAAAATAAATAATTTTATATTTTAATAAAATACGATAACACATAATGACATTTAAAATGTGAACAACCATTACCAATTAAACAACATACATACATATATCTTCCATACTATAAATCTTCAAATATTAAGGAATGCTGGAAACTCATGAGTTAAATAGCTTTCTATCATTTCCATCTTATTATTATTACTTACAAGCGGAAACGAACCTTCAATATTTTCCAATGATATTTCTGAGTAATTTGTATTGTCATAACACATTTGATCGATATTTAGAAGACTACTTTGAAATTCTGTATCTGGATAATCGGGTAAATTCAATATTTCATTACAATTTGATCCAAGTTGATTAACAAGTTCATTAGTAGGTAACAATTCCGAATTATTGGTAATTTCTACAGTAAGCACTTGTCCCGTGTTTACATCTACTAATGAGAAAACTTGAGGAATAGACTCGACGATAGATAAATTTGTAGGTTCTAACGACAAATTCCGGCATTCGGAATTTTCTTCAGGATTTAATAATGGTTGTATTTCCAATTGCGAATTAGCATTTGCAGCCTCTTTTTTTACATTTATAACGGAACAATCTTTCTCTTTATTTTTTGCAATTGATTCACATCCCTTTCCGACTTTTACTTTATCAGTTTCTGATCTGTTTAGTTTATCTGGCACTGGCACAAGATGGCCATCCTTTGTTTTCATGAGTTTTACCACCTTGAAATTATAATTACGGTTATTTATACACAAAATATATATCTTAAAAGACTATCACAAGAATTCTTTTTTACCTTTTTCTTTTTTTCCAGTGTAATTCTATGACAAGTTTCCATGTGACGAGTGAGATGGTGCGAGCGTTTGAACGCGGTGTTACATTGCATACAGGCAAACGGCCGATGTTGCTCGTGCGACAATTTGTGTCTTTTCAATAAACTGTTTCTCTTAAAAGCTTTGCCACATTCTTCGCAGATGAATTGTCGCTCCTTACTATGAATATAAAGTACGTGATCTTTGAGGATGCTGACACTGGTAAATGTTTTGCCACAATGCTCGCATACGATATTTCGCTCTTCTACATGTAGATGTTTGTGCCTATCCAGATCTGTCCTTCTGGCACACTGAAACGTACACCCATATATATTACAGACGAATCGCTTTGCGCCCTTGTGAATACGTCTGACATGTTGATCCAGAGCTCTTTGCGTAATTAATTTTTTCGAACAGATTGTGCAGGAGAATATAGCCCTTACAGGTATATCCTTGTTAACTTTATTTAGATGTAACGCAGACTCCAAGTGTCGAAAATAGTCGTCTTTCTTTACAAACGAGTGTCTACAATCAGCGCAAAAATATGGACCTGTAAAATAACATTATTAGATAAGTACAAGAAAAATGAACTGTCCCATTAATACAATTTTAATATTCATCACCATTTGCAGATTCTTCCTCGCTTAATTTTGGGATATGAACCGCTTTAAAGTGCTCGTGCACCTTTTTCTTCGATGCAAAAGTAATATCACAGTGTGGACACTTATAGTTATCGTGATTCTGAATATGAGATATATATGTCTGCTTGATACTGAATATTTGCGAACATTGCTGGCACTTGAATTGCCTTTTTTTACAGTGATTCTCCTTGTGTTCTTTTTCGTCTGTATCTATATTTATCATATCTCCGCAATCCGAACATACTTTGCCGTTCTGATAGATGTGCTTTGCTCTATGACGGTTCAAAAGGGCGCGTTTGGGAAAACTTTTCGGACATACGTCGCACAAATGAGGATGTCTAACTACCCTTTCTCCATGTGCGCGAAACAAATGAACATCTAAATGCTTTCGTCTGGCGAATTTTTCATTACAATGAGGACAGTTATTTTTCTGATGACCTTCCAAATGACGATCCAAGTGTCTTTTATATCTGAAGGTCATTAGACATTGCTCACACTTTTGAAACTGTTCATCTCCATCTGATAACTCCAGATTATTAACTTTTATTTCACGTTTCAATTCGGATATAATACTTTGATTTATATTACTGACATCTTTAGCGACATTAGAATTTGTATCTATATTTTCTGTATAAAGTTTGACAGAACAATTGTAGTTCTCTATGTTCTTACTTTCTAAACATTGATCTTTGTCGAATGTATAGGAATCATTATTATGAACAGTCGTTATATTATCTGAATCTTTGTTGTTTGAAAAATTTGAGAAGTTCAGACTCATTGTGTTGAAATGTTGAATCGAGTGTGAAATATCAACATCTATAGAACTGCCTTGTTTTGTTTTCTCCTCTTCATTCTTTATACAATTTGTAGAGTCCAAGGTATTTTGTAGGAATAAGCTTTCGATTTTCATAAAATTAAAATCAATACTATTCAAATTAACATCATCTAAACCATCTCCCTGTAAACTAATGTCTGTGACACCTGTAGAATTAGCTGCTAGACCGACTTCAGAGTTCTTATTCTCCAGATTGCTGATACATTCTCTCAGGTAATCATAACTCTCCATTTCACTATTCTCCATGCACACATTTGGAATAGCATCCAGTGTAGAATAATCCTAAAAAACAAGCGATAAGCAATATAAAAGTTACTAAAGTCCAAAATCTATAATGTAATGTGATCTTTGCTTCTTGTTTCCTTTTTGTTCTTTATGGCTGTTTTATTGATAAAATTATCTTTTCTGAAATTTTTTATCTTGGAAAAACAGCTAAGATAACAGAAAAGAGAAGTAAAAAAAAGTGGTAAAAAGCAAAAAACAGGAAGCAGAGATCACAGATTAGACTTAAATGAAATATATTTAAAGAGGCAATGTGTTTCATAATAGTAACTTCCATACAGACAGTTCATTATTTCCAATTTCTCACCTCGTCGAATAAACGTAGCGTCATCATTCCAAATTACGGAGTCTTAATAATAAAAATCTGATATTTATTATTATACATGAATGCGATTGTTACATATCAGGAGAAGCTACATTTAGCTTATAAATCTCTTAAGTGGATTTATGTTCATAAAATTATTACACGAATTACTTGAAGCATTCGTAATATAATTGCACGACACATAACCTAAAAAGAGCTGAAAAGTACGCAAAAAGCTGAAAACGTTGTGTACTGTAGATGTACATGTTGCACATGCATATTGGAAATATGGATTGCGCTATTTTATTTGGAACGAAAAAAGGAGGATTCAAAAATATTAGATAATTCTAAAATAATTAGTTTTCAGTTGACGTTTGCATAAATAAATTAATTTATATTAGTATTTCTGGAAAGTGTCCAAATATATTCGTATAAAAATTTCATCAGAGGTGTAATTTATAAACTACAGTCCACTCGATATACTATAATATAAATACTTCGAAGCATTTTTTAATTGGTCAATTAAAAACTTCGAAATATTTATATCGTCAAGTCGACCGCACCCAAATCTTAGGTCTGTTCCCGTTGCTTGCACTTTTTGCACTTAGTATTTTCGTTTCTCTCTTTTTAATGCGAAAATTATATCTATTCCATTTTAAATGCAAAAATATTTAGAGATTTCAAACAATGCGAACAGAACTCTTGTTTACACCGCGCACTTAATACGCGTACTAATTAGTAAAGGTGTTTTTTCATGTTAACGTTTGATACCAATTTTTAGTATTAAAACAAATCACTTAATAAAAATTGATAAATATATCTATTAGCATCAATTAGCATAAATTTTGATCACGTAATCTATTGTACTGTTAAAAATGGGGCATTAGCATGAAAAACATGTTAAATTTCTATTAATTGTCTTAATTTCAGCGATGCCTGTAAACGTATAATGTATATAATATGGCTATAATTTAATTAATCATCTAGATGCATATTCATCTTTAATTTAGACTCATATTTATTTATTTTACATTAAACAGCTGAAATGATAAAATGCATAACTGTTTATGAATTATCTACATTTTTTTTATTGCATTAGATTTTTATTAGAGTCCACAATACTCTAATTATAGCTCTTGAATTGATTCACGTCGTATGAAAGTGAAGTTGGCCGCGCGACTTTCGAATTTCTTCCGTTACGTTCGAGACTCGTTCCAACTCATTCGCGGAACGCTCGTCAGTCCGAGTAAGTTGTATTTGCGTGATCGTACTTTTTTTCGCGTTAATATTTCGATTCGTCTCGTTAGGAAGTGAGGTATTTGTCACGTGTCGAGAGTGTATTTCGTCGAGTTTTGATTAATGCGAGCGATCGTAATTCATTGCTGTTTTCACGAATATCATGCCGGTCGTGCAAACGCCACGAAAGAGGAGCCATTGTAACGTAGGAGAGGCAGGAGGAGAAGATGGCTCGGGAAGGTATAGGACGATAGCAGAGGAATCGTATCGTGAGTGAATTATTATTTGTTCATTCTTTCTTGAAAATTATGTAATACAAGTATGCATGCGGTAACGTATTCCAGTCTCGCTCCATTAAAATCGGCTTTTCCATATATATGCCACAAGTATATGCAATGTCCAGTCGAGCTTGTTTCAATGTCCACAAAATAGCGCATCATTGTCAAAACAATTAAGGAGTGCATGTTGTTTCACGCGTGATGTGCATAATGTATCATTTATTCTTGTTTAACATTCGGTGAATAACAAAGATAAATGATGCATCATGCGTATTATGCGTGAAACGGAATGCACCCAAGAATCATGCTGATACTTATGGAGTATTATAAGGATGCTTTTTATTTATTGTTCATTTCTGCCAATGTTATAGATTAACTTCACAATCTTTATTTAATTTAATTATACTTTATTTTTAATTTTTAGGCTCGGTTCCACAAATATAAAACTAACTTTAATATCTATCTATCTTTATTATAATTCTTACAGTTAGAAAAAGATAGATAATAAGTTAAATTGAGATTAAAGTTAATTTGCATTATTAGAAACGAGACATAAATATCATTCCATCTTTCTTGACATTCTGAGATTAACAAAAATATAAAAATGACATTTATGTCGATTTGTGTCATCAGATAGAAAGCACTCAACGTAATCAGCCTTATTTATAGTTGAAGAATGTTTGAATGCAACGAAATATTTTTTTAATGTCATCTGTAATGCGAATAAAATTTGAATCATTTCTCCGGCAACAGAAATCATTTTACAAAATATCCTTTAATATAATATATATAAAATATGCATTATATGTATACTATTTTGAAATGCTTGAAACATTTTAATAAAATATTTAGAATATGTATAAAATATCACATTAAATATATAAAATTATTAAATGTTATTTTATAATATATTTTGTCTAATATTTTACGTAATGTTTTATCATATGTTGGAAAGTTACAGATACTTCTAAGAATTAGAACAAGATGAAGAGTAAGATGAACCAAGATTAAAGTTAATCTACATTGATAGAAATGGGCCTTAGACTCTTAACTTTTTAACTTAATTTAGTTACATTTTTTCAATAACTATTAATATTTAATTTGACCTTACCCAACCCTGTCGATTATATGTATACATGAACGCATATTTTTGAGGAGAAAATACTTGATAGTCAAAAGGAATGACAGAAATATATTCGGTTTATTTCATATGCACCATCGTGTATTTCACATTTAGCTATTAGAATTTTTTTTGAAGTATTGTAATTTTGAACGATACATTTACATATACGTCATAAACACATAAAGTTTTATGCTGGGATTAACTCTTTCGGCAGAGGTACTTCCGACTCAAGACCAAACGGCCAAATTTCTTTTAAGAGATCTGCGACAGCTCGTATATATGTGCATATATTCGCCATCACTTTTGCAATCTGTGCTTTGTGAACATGCTGAACTTCCTTACAAGGCAAAGACTCTTACAAGCTATGATATGTATCTTTTTTTGTGTGCAGTTCACAATACTTTCTTAGTCCAGTTCTTTAGCCCGACTAATTAGTTTAGTAAGACAAAGAAGATATCCAGGCAGAAACAGAGAGACTTTTGAGAAAACGTGCATATTTATATACACACACACACACATATATATATATATA